GATGAAGATTTCTAAAGAAATGATGAAGATTTGAAGATTTTCTAAAGAAAATGCTTTGTAGATTTCTAAAGAAAATGCTGTAGATTTTCTAAAGAAAATGATAAGATTTCTAAGAAATGCTGAAGATTTTCTAAAGAAATGTTAGATTTTCTAAAGAAAAGCTATAAGATTTTCTAAAGAAAATGCTAAAGATTTTCTAAAGAAAATGCTTAAAGATTTTCTAAAGAAAATGCTAAAGATTTCTAAAGAAAATGCTAAAGATTTTCTAAAGAAATGCTAAAAGATTTTCTAAAAGCTAAAATGCTTACAAGATTTTCTAAAGAAAATGCTAAAGATTTTCTAAAGAAAGAAAGCTTTTCTAAAGAAATGCTTAAAGATTTTCTAAAGAAGCTAAAGATTTCTAAAGAAATGCTAAAGATTTTCTAAAGAAAATGCTAAAGATTTCTAAAGAAATGCTAAAGATTTTCTAAAGAAAATGCCTAAAGATTTTCTAAAGAAAATGCTAAAGATTTTCTAAGAAATCCTAAAGATTTCTAAAGAAAATCCTAAAGATTTTCTAAAGAAAATCCTAAAGATTTTCTAAGGAAAATCCTAAAGATTTTCAAAAGAAAATTCTAAAAATTTTCTAAGGGAAATCCTTAAGATTTTCTAACGAAAAATAAAGAAGATCCTGAATATTTTCTAAGGGAAAGCCTAATGACTTTCTTGGGAAAATCGTTGAAGATTTTCTAAAGGATATCATGAAGATTTTCTAAAAGAAATCTTGGAGATTTTCTTATTGATATCCTGAAGATTTTCTAAAGAAAATCCCGAAATTTTTCTAAAAGAAGTCCTGAAGACTTTCTCAATAAAATCTTTCTATAAGAAATCTTACAAATTTTCTAAAGATAATCATAAAGATTTTCGAAAGAAAACACTGAAATAGAAGATTTCGGAACGAAAGCACTGATGATTCTGTAAAGAAAATAAAATTATTAAATTTTTGGAAACATAATAATCAAGATTTTCTTTATACGTATGAGTGATATGTAATTATTAATTTCATTACGTAACATTACTCATACGCCAAATTATTATACTTTAAATATTTGTTTTAAGATAATTAAACTCTCAAAACCCCCTCTTAATTGTACTCATAATTAGTAAAATTTTATTTTGTGCAAAATACTGTTTAATATCCCTAGAGAAATTTTATAAATTCTTTTATTATCGAATTCTTAGTGTTTATTATCTTTTTCTGAAATTTATTGAAACTTAAAAAGAAACTAAAACAATAAATACATTATCCCTCTTAATTTGGAATAATAACAAAAACACTAAATCAAATTTCTAAATGTTCTCCAAGGATTAATAAATATAATTCATAAACTATGAGTCTATGAGTGTGTTAAACATCTAAATTATGAAACAAAAAGAAAAACTTCTAATGCTGGACCATTTTGAAATCAATAAATGGCAAAATATAACTACAGCTACTAAATAAACTTAAAACATGTTTTATAACTATAACTACAGAAAGTTTTTTTTTCTAAAAACTAAGTATTGCAACTGGAGAGTCGTAAATGTAAAAGGTTGTAATCTCAATTGGTCAATTTATGTGTGAAAGTATAGGGTAATAGACGGGCCCTTTGCTTTGGGTCATTTAAAACTAAGACTAGTTTCAAATGACTTTAATGTTGGCTCCAAATAGTCATCAAGGACTTGTACAGGAAACCTTAATTAGAACTAATATTCTTACTCAATTTACTAAGTAGTGTCTGTTACACTGAAACTGTCAAGAATCAAAAATTTATTTACAACTCCCATTATTTAGCGCCAGCCTAATGCACTTGTGTTTGTTAAGGTTTATTTATGACATATTTATTTTATTACTCGAGCATAGTGCGTATGTCGTATTAGAAGATATGAAATAGAATTATGGATACAAGAAAAACGAAAATATTTTTAAAATTTATGTTATTCCCCCCAGGAAAGTTCGATAGCCTTTAAACATTTTACTTAAAATAAAGTGTTGTTTTTAAATTAGTATTTACATTCAAGGGGACAATTTAAAACAGACAGTGTTTATAAGGCAGTTGAATAATAAGAATAATATTTTTAATAATTTAAATACCTTAGTTTTTTAATGCCGATAATTTGTTTCTCGTTATTATATGTATACGAGATGATAAGTTGCCGGAATGATCTTCTAATGCTTTATAGGTAATAATTTCACTATTCCAGGACCAGTCCTATACGTGATTGGCTTTATTCCTTGTAGCTAATGGACCACTTCTTTGTAGGAATACATAACTATAAAAGCTTGTGTGTTAATTACAGTATAGATGAAAAATTAAAAATAATTTTGTGGACCAAAAGTACTATAAAACAATTTTAAAATTACTTTTCTTCGTAATAACTGAAAATTGCGGAATTTTGAAATCCATAGTATCGTAGCTAATCGCAGCCCAAAACACATGTTCCTACTAAAGAACTGTGTTGTAAACATTACCCTCTAGTTTATCGTATCCAAAACATTTGTTCCTACTCAAGAACTGCATAATAAACATCACTCCGAAGCCTATATATAGGCTTAATCTTATGATCAGATATAATGTAAAGACAAGCGCTGCTTCTTACCGCATATGTGATGTCAAAGGAAAACACACCTTTCAGCTTTTGTGTTATTGTCTGGTCGTTAGTCAGTAGTTAGTTAGTTAGTTAGTTAGTTAGTTAGTCAGTTAGTTAGTTAGTTAGTTAGTTAGTTAGTTAGTTAGTTAGTTAGTTAGTTAGTTAGTTAGTAGTTAGTTAGCTAGTTAGTTAGTTAGTTAGTTAGTTAGTTAGTTAGTTAGTTAGTTAGTTAGTTAGTTAGTTAGTTAGTTAGTTAGTAGGTAGTTAGTTAGTTAGTTTAGTTAGTTAGTTAGTTAGTTAGTTAGTTAGTTAGTTAGTTAGTTAGTTAGTTTAGTTAGTTAGTTAGTAGTTAGTTAGTTAGTAGTTAGTTAGTTAGTAGTTAGTTAGTTAGTTAGTTAGTTAGTTAGTTAGTTAGTTAGTTAGTTAGTTAGTTAGTTAGTTAGTTAGTTAGTTAGTTAGTTAGTAGTTAGTTAGTAGTTCGTTAGTAGTTAGTTAGTTAGTTAGTTAGTTAGTTAGTTAGTTAGTTAGTTAGTTAGTGTTAGTAGTTAGTTAGTAGTTAGTTAGTTAGTTAGTTAGTAGTTAGTTAGTTAGTTAGTAGTTAGTTAGTTAGTTAGTAGTTAGTAGTTAGTAGTTAGTTAGTTAGTTAGTTAGTTAGTTAGTTAGTTAGTTAGTTAGTTAGTTAGTTAGTTAGTTAGTTAGTTAGTTAGTTAGTTAGTTAGTTAGTTAGTTAGTTAGTTAGTTAGTTAGTTAGTTAGTTAGTTAGTTAGTAGTTAGTTAGTTAGTTAGTAGTTAGTTAGTAGTAGTTAGTTAGTTAGTTAGTTAGTTAGTTAGTTAGTTAGTTAGTTAGTTAGTTAGTTAGTAGTTAGTTAGTTAGTTAGTTAGTAGTTAGTTAGTAGTAGTTAGTTAGTAGTTAGTTAGTTAGTTAGTTAGTTAGAGTAGTTAGTTAGTTAGTTAGTTAGTAGTTAGTTAGTTAGTTAGTTAGTTAGTTAGTTAGTTAGTTAGTTAGTTAGTTAGTTACTTCATATTCAGTCCTATTTCCTGATATTTCACTCATTCCTAATATTACAACCTGTTACTTTCCCAATGGTTTTTGACTTCGTTTTCTGACTTGTCTAAAAAATTTTGTTGAAAAACAACTCAAAAGTCTTCTTTTTATCAACACTTTACACACACTAACAACATTTACTTTATCTTACAAAAATAAACTACAATTATGTTGTCTCTTAATCTGTTGCACTTATCGAATAACACGGGACAAAAACAACTAAGGAAAGTAAATATTTTCAACACACTTAGCAGATGTTTTCGTTCTCAGGGAGTGAGACAAATAAGACTTAAAACAAATAAAAGAAATATTAATAAAGATTAAATTTTTAATACAAACAACACTTTTAATTTTTAATTACAGATCTTTTCCGTCGCTTTAGTGCACGCTTATTCCCAGCCGGTTTGTTTAGTAGAGCTGGTGCTGACAGTGATGAAGATGATTCCAGTGAAATTGGTTTCCCCACCATCGATCCCAAAAAGGCCAATAGCACTTCGACAGTAAAGGTAGGTTATATATAAGTAGTGAACAACATGTAGAAAAAAAAAAATAAAACTTTCAATTAACTAGGTGGTCGATGGTCATAAAGTGGAGGTTAACGAAACCGTTTATGGTGATGAAAACAGTGTCTTCAAGGTACGTGTGGTTAACATACGCCCCTTAGAAGATGGCGAAACCGTTGAAGAAACCGAAAATAAAGACATTAAACCAGTAACCCAAGGACCCACTGATAAAAATCCCAATGCCGAATCAAATGAATCAGAAGAGAAACGTGAACCTTTGGCAAAGAAACCTTTAGATAATGAAATTCAGGGCAATATTGATGATCCAGAGGTAAAATATTAAATTGTTTTGTTTTACTGTTCTTTTTTATTTTTTTTCTCTGTAAATTTCTATAATTTTTCCTTAACAAAAAAAAAAAAAACGCTTTAAGCTGTATATTGTTTTATTATTATTTCTTTTTTAATTATTTGTTTGCAAAAAAAAAATATATTATTAATAATATAATTATTATGTTTTGGTTTTCTTTGTATAATAAATAAAACTGGAATGGCAAATAAATTTTGTTAAATATTTAAATGAACGAAATTTTTGGTATGGATATTTTTTTGGTTTGTTTGTAGCTCAAGAGTTTTTAAAATAATAAAACAAAAAAAATATAAAAATTTCTTAAATTCTTAACTATAAATAAGCTTTTATTCTGCTCTATTAATATTTACTATTATATTATTTTACTACTACTTACATACATATATATATATCTTTATACACTACTTACTCCTTAAAATTTATATAAAATATAATGATTTAACACATGTATATTGTATAATACTTATAATCAAATAATAATAATAAAAAACTTTATAATTAAATAAATAAAATTTTTCCTTTGAAAAAAAAAAACAAACAACTTTATAATTGTATATAGAATTTTTATATAAAAACAAATTTTTTTGCAAATTTGCTTTAATTGGCTTAATTGATAAACAAATTTATCATAATTACTTTTTATTATTAATTTTTTTTATTTTCATAAATTATACTAACACTTGTATGGCAAATATTCAATCAATTCAATTAATTTTAAAAGAATTTGTAATATTTGTTGGTAAAATTTTAACAAAATTTTGTAAATATGTATATATTATGTCAACTTTAAATAATATGTGTCACCGCAGTAATGTAAGTATAAAACAAGTAAGAAATTATAGTCGGGCGAGACCGACCATACACCTGTTACAAAAAAAATGTGATTTAGTTTTCATAATAAAGCATTTAAGTTGAATTGTACCTTGCCTCAGATATACTTAAGCCATTTATTGTTGAATAAAATTGTGGACATTTTAGTCGAATTTTGAAGGGGGCTATGGTCAAATGAGACCCTATAATTGAAAAATATATGAGTATCATCCAGGCTAGTATAGAACTTGGTTTTGCAGCTTTTTGTCGAGATACGATAATTATGAACTTAAAAGCCCTATTAGTCCGGTTCAGTTGTATGGGGGCTAGGTGAAATAATGGACCGATCTTAACTATTTTCAACAGGCCTCGTCTCCGGTATCATAGAAGATTGTGTGCCGAATTTTATTGAATTATCTTCAAAATTGCGACCTGTAGTTTGATTACAAGGTTTACAAGCTCTATTCAGGGGTTCAGTTGTATGGGGGCTAGGTGAAATAATGGGCCGATCTTAACCATTTTCAATAGGCTTCGTCCCTGGGACAATAGCAGATCATGTACCAAATTTCATTGAATTATCTTCAATCTGTAGTTTGATTACAAGGTTTACATGGACGGACAGACAGACAGACAGACAGACAGACAGACAGACAGACAGATAGACAGATGGACAGACAGATAGACAGACAGACAGACAGACAGACAGACAGACAGACATACAGACAGACAGACAGACAGACAGACAGACAGACAGACAGACAGACAGACAAACAGACAGACAGACAGACAGACAGACAGACAAACAGACAGACGGACATAGCTAAATCGACTCAGAAAATGGTTCTAAGCAGATTGGTATACTTGGGTATAGGACCAATATTATTGTGCGTTACAAACATCAGCACAAACCCAATATACCCTCCCCACTAAAGTGGTGTAGGTTATAATTACGACCCTTTTAAAAAAGTGGTAATACTATAATGTTATAAATCGGATATAACGAATCATACATATCCATCATTTAAACTTATCTATGTCATAAAGCAAGTGTTAATTTCGTAATGTTGTAATATATGTAGAATATTTTGGGGAGTATATTAATTTTGTCACATTTGTTCTATTTTGTCACAAAATATTAGTCATAGACCCATAAAAATATATAAATATTCTAGGTCATTCTTAGTTTCTACAGTGATCTAGCCATAGTCCATCCGTCTGTTTTAAGAATCCGCTACACAGCAGAAGCTAGAGGGTGCTATAGTTATTATCTCTCTGTAAGGTTTGTTTGGAATTGTAAATGTGCCATATCAGCCCATATGGCCCCCCGAAATACAGTTTAAACATTAATAAATAAGTTAATTAGGCAGCAATTGTAATAAATTGTTGCACAAGTTTTTACACGGTGATGGCTGACATTGGACCATAATTGACCCTATTCTCCATATAAAGGCTTCTTCAGAAAATGAATCAAAGGCTCATAACTGGCTTAATAATAGCAATATAGTAACGAAATTCGATGCAAAATTTTATAAGAATTGATTTTTAATTGACCCTATCCTCCATATAAGGCCGTCGACTTTAACGCTAATAAATGACTTAGTAATAGCAGTATAAGTATAAGTAGTAATAGCAGTATATTAAATTATTTAAATTTCCCGTATGATATCTCACTAACTTTTCACTTTTCTTAAAAAAAAAAACTTAATCATGCTTATTAAAAACTCTTAAAAAGCTTAATAAAAAAATATGCTTAATAATATTAATATTTAATAAATGCATCAAATGCCTATTTTATTTGTTTCCTGCTATTTTCATTGTTAATACCTCCGCTGCTGTTGCTTTTGCTTTAATTAAATTTATTTATAAGTTTTTAAGAACAATTTTATTGCAAAAAAAAAATTACAAAATTATACAATTTTGTTTTGGAAAGCTATTTAAAGTAACTAAACCCGGGTTTGTTTTACATTACCCTATAAAAAATGTTATTCACAATAAACATTCTGTGAGTTTTAGTGATAAAAATATTGGCTTTCTTAAAAGAGCATATTTATTAAGAAAAATTATCCTAAAACAAGATAACAATTTAGTATATGATATGTAAAGAAAAACCTAATTTAGCTTTAACGCTGAATTTAGTGAAAAGCAATGAGCTCCAAAATCAAAAACAATAAGAGAAGAGATGGAAAATACAGTATAGTCAAGAGCATAGTATATGTTTCAGCCTATAGATTAGTCTATAGTTCAGTGTATGGTATAGTATAGACTATATATAGGATATTTTGTCTAGTCTATAGTTTAGTCTATAGTCTAGTCTATAGTCTAGTCTATAGTCTAGTCTATAGTCTAGTCTATAGTCTAGTCTATAGTCTAGTCTATAGTCTAGTCTATAGTCTAGTCTATAGTCTAGTCTATAGTCTAGTCTATAGTCTAGTCTATAGTCTAGTCTATAGTCTAGTCTATAGTCTAGTCTATAGTCTAGTCTATAGTCTAGTCTATAGTCTAGTCTATAGTCTAGTCTATAGTCTAGTCTATAGTCTAGTCTATAGTCTAGTCTATAGTCTAGTCTATAGTCTAGTCTATAGTCTAGTCTAGTCTAGTCTATAGTCTAGTCTATAGTCTAGTCTATAGTCTAGTCTAGTCTAGTCTATAGTCTAGTCTATAGTCTAGTCTATAGTCTAGTATATAGTCTAGTCTATAGTCTAGTCTATAGTCTAGTCTATAGTCTAGTCTATAGTCTAGTCTATAGTCTAGTCTATAGTCTAGTCTATAGTCTAGTCTATAGTCTAGTCTATAGTCTAGTCTATAGTCTAGTCTATAGTCTAGTCTATAGTCTAGTCTATAGTCTAGTCTATAGTCTAGTCTATAGTCTAGTCTATAGTCTAGTCTATAGTCTAGTCTATAGTCTAGTCTATAGTCTAGTCTATAGTCTAGTCTATAGTCTAGTCTATAGTCTAGTCTATAGTCTAGTCTATAGTCTAGTCTATAGTCTAGTCTATAGTCTAGTCTATAGTCTAGTTAGTCTAGTCTATAGTCTAGTATAGTCTAGTCTAGTCTAGTCTATAGTCTAGTCTATAGTCTAGTCTATAGTCTAGTCTATAGTCTAGTCTATAGTCTAGTATAGTCTAGTCTATAGTCTAGTCTATAGTCTAGTCTATAGTCTAGTCTATAGTCTAGTCTATAGTCTAGTCTATAGTATAGTCTATAGTCTAGTCTATAGTCTAGTCTATAGTCTAGTCTATAGTCTAGTCTATAGTCTAGTCTATAGTCTAGTCTATAGTCTAGTCTATAGTCTAGTCTATAGTCTAGTCTATAGTCTAGTCTATAGTCTAGTCTATAGTCTAGTCTATAGTCTAGTCTATAGTCTAGTCTATAGTCTAGTCTATAGTCTAGTCTATAGTCTAGTCTATAGTCTAGTCTATAGTCTAGTCTATAGTCTAGTCTATAGTAGTCTATAGTCTAGTCTATAGTCTAGTCTATAGTCTAGTCTATAGTCTAGTCTATAGTATAGTCTATAGTCTAGTCTATAGTCTAGTCTATAGTCTAGTCTATAGTCTAGTCTATAGTCCAGTCTATAGTCTAGTCTATAGTCTAGTCTATAGTCTAGTCTATAGTCTAGTCTATAGTCTAGTCTATAGTCTAGTCTATAGTCTAGTCTATAGTCTAGTCTATAGTCTAGTCTATAGTCTAGTCTATAGTCTAGTCTAGTCTAGTCTATAGTCTAGTCTATAGTCTAGTCTATAGTCTAGTCTATAGTCTAGTCTATAGTCTAGTCTATAGTCTAGTCTATAGTATAGTCTATAGTCTAGTCTATAGTCTAGTCTATAGTCTAGTCTATAGTCTAGTCTATAGTCTAGTCTATAGTCAGTCTATAGTCTAGTCTATAGTCTAGTCTATAGTCTAGTCTATAGTCTAGTCTATAGTCTAGTCTATAGTCTAGTCTATAGTCTAGTCTATAGTCTAGTCTATAGTCTAGTCTATAGTCTAGTCTATAGTCTAGTCTATAGTCTAGTCTATAGTCTAGTCTATAGTCTAGTCTATAGTCTAGTCTATAGTCTAGTCTATAGTCTAGTCTATAGTCTAGTCTATAGTCTAGTCTATAGTCTAGTCTATAGTCTAGTCTATAGTCTAGTCTATAGTCTACACCATTTCAAGTTTAAATTGAGAAAATACAAACTCATATTGAGAATTTCAATTTAAAATTTAGAAAATTCAAATTAAGTTCAGAAATTTAAATTAATATTGAGAAAACCCCAT